ATTATTATTATTTTTTTTCTGTACTTATATGTAAATGTGTGGGGTGCGCCAGGAATAGTTATTTATACCATTACCATGGGAAAATGAAGTGCAAAGTGGGATTTTGTTCATAGTGGGGCGGGGTAGGGTGGGGTGGGGTGGAATTGAGTAGGGGATAAGAGATCATGACTGTATAATATGATGGAAAATATGTTTGCAAATCTTTTTGACATAAAGTTTTAACAAAATAAAGATATGAGGGCTGTTTTTTTTTTTCCCTGAAACGATAGGAATATTATATACCAACAAAAATTGCGAACATAGTTCAAATACAACCGGGAAAAATTTCCAACTCAACAAAAGGAAAAACAGAGAGGACACACACGCAGGCGGCCTAGAGACTCAAAGATAAGCATAACTAAGGTAAGATAGACCTGCAACCTTAGTCTACTAAAGCAAACCAGACACTCACCAAGACTCAACTACTGTCCATATAGCCACCCAATACACTATCCTCTGACAAACCACAAACTACTAAACACTAAAAGATAACATAAAGAAGAGACCAACTGCAGCTAACAACTTTGAAGATAAAAATCAAGAAAAAAACAGGACTGCAAAAAATACAGGACCCTGAAAACCAAAGAGAAGGAAAAACAAACTACAGACCCAAAAACCAAAGTTGCCAATAGTTAAGGGAGATGAGTCTTTGTATATTAAATCCATTCCTTCAGTGCTCCCTTAATAATCAGAAGCTCTGGGATCCTTCTTGTTGAAAAAGTCACATATTACGGGTTTTCCACAACCACCATAAAAGGTAGGTAGAAAGTTGTATTCTCTCTTCATGAATTGTTGTCTTACCAGTAGAGCAAATGTGATTCCACCATTCTTTGAAAGCACCAGGCTCAGTATCCAACCCTTCCCACTTTACAGGACTCAACTTCCATACCCTTGAAGCTCTGGGACAATGAAGCAAACATGTTCAATTGTTTCAGTATCTTCCCCACATAATTGACATATCACATCAATGTCTAGCCCTCTCTTCTTCAGGTTCAATTTTATAGGCGGAGTCCCAGCACAACATTTCCAAATGAAATGTTATATCTTCCCTTTTATCCTCAATTTCCACATATTGCTCTTGGCAATATGACCCTGAGAATCTCTACTGTTGCCTTTAGGTATGTCCATTGCCAGTAATTTATGCTCAATCAGGTAAGCATAAGATGCTGAAATAGAGAACACACCTCTACTTCTCCTGTTCCATCTCCACTTGTCTTCCAGGTTGGGATTCAAAGTTATGATCTTCAGTATAGCTGCACTGTCCAAATCACCAAAGACCTGCTTAATAAGCCATTCATTCCAGCATAAACCATCCTCACTCATCAGGCCTTTCACCCATATCAAATGACCTATAGCAATCTCTAAAAGGTCTGGCCTTTGCTTAGTCAGGAAAGGAATCTAATTGACATCATCGATCTTTATTTGCTTCCCATTTCCGATTTCACTTGCGTGCCCTTAAAAAAGGTAGGGAGAATAGCTCGCCAACTTTTCCATAGCCAAGAAGCATTTTGCTTATTTCAGCTTCCAAAATTGATGTCTGAGGGAAGTATTTGCTCTTTAAGACTTTGCTCACCAGTAGCTCTGTTTGGGTAGTGATTCTCCATAGTTGTTTGCAGATCATGCCTCATTTAAAACTTTGATATCCTGGAAACCTAACCTCCCCCATTGCATTTTGGCAGAGTTAAAAGGCTCCATTTTTTCCAATGTATACCTTTTTGCTCTTCCTCTCATGTCTGCCACCAAAATTCAGCACATAATCTGGTAATTTCCTTGCAAATAGCCACATGTAGTTTAAAACAAGCCATAGCATACACAGGGAGGGCATTAATCACTGCCTTTATCAAAACTTCCTTGCCAGCTAGAGAAAGCCATTTATTTTTCCAATTCAACAGTCTAGACCTCACTCTTTCATTAATGAAAGAAAAAGTTACTATCTTGGATCGACCAATACCCAGAGGAAGGCCTAAATACGTGGTGGATTTATGCCTGTTAGTGCCTTGAGAGATACCACAAATTGAGGACTGGTTTACTTCTTAGTTTTATATATTTTCCCATTTCGTTACTTTTCAAATAGTATATTATATTTTTATATGTTATAGAGCATTTAAAAAATGGTTAATAATTAAACTTGTGTTTTTTTTGTTGGGACTCATTTACTTAAGCTGATAGGATAGAATATAGTTGGATAATTTCTGTTATCTTACGATTAATAACCATGATGAGATTGGATATATAATAAGCTTATGTTTCTTGTGGATCCCATATTTTTATGCACGATGTGCACGACTATTTTGTCTGGTCTTGAGGGTGAGACATTTTATTCCGACCTTAAATGACCATTTTCTACCAAAAATTGGCATGTGGAGTATCTCTTTTATTCTCAAGTCTACCAAATTACAGATTTATGCCATATAAATATATTTTATTTTTTTATCCTCTCATTTAATCCAGGTTAGTAACGAGGCGATTGTATATAAATTCAATAGTATAAAAACAAATCAAAACTCAAATTTAACTCAACTTTAACTCAACTTCATTATCCTCAATAATCTTAATATACTTAAATAATATCAAACCAATCATTCTTACACATCACATCAACTTTAATTCACTATTCATCAACTCACATAAATCTAACTAACTATCATATCCAATCATTTTTCTCATACTTTACATCAAATCAACTTTAATTGTTTTATTTAACTATTATTTTAATATATTCACTAGCAACTAATTATATCACATTTTTTAAATTTAACTATAGCTAAAAACAAAGCATATAAAAACTAATTCAATTCATAAACAATCAAGTCTTAAATGCTTGATTGTTTTTTTCCTTTAATATGCATCATGTTTTGTAAAAATTGGACACAAACCAGTGTGTAAAGTTGATGAGATTAAACTAAACGAGATCGTGAAGTAATAACTCCAAGAAGGTCGGACAAATTGTCACCCATTTTGTTGATAAAAGTAGGGCCCAAACAGGCTCGACATATCCAAGCGAGCTTATATCAACCCAAGTAAAAGAAATTATCAATAGGAAAATGTGGTTATCCTTGTTAATAACAAGAAGTAAACCAACAAGTAAGAGTTTGAAGGAGTGTATACTTTAAAGTGATTTGACGTGTAAAATAAAACCATTATTGTATATTAAATTAAACTTAATATTATCAACATTTCTTCGAGCTTGAATGCGTTCCAGGCGGTCGTATCCACGTACCACATGACCATCAAGTATCCTGTGGGCGAAAATGTAGGGGAGATTGTCGGGGACCAACTCACTTCGAGGAGCTGCTATCAAACAACAGTGAGCAATAACAAGCAATTGGCGAGAAGGCAGGCCAAGTCAAAAGAGGAGGAGATTAATCGACCAGGTGGGTCGAGGTAGAAAGAGGATAAACAGAGAATGGAGAAGGGTAAGGAGAAGATGGATATTCAGCCGGGGGGAGAAGTGGAGGAGATTCAGATGATCGAGTGGTGTGAGGAGAGGAAGTTCAGAATCGGGAAAGACTTGGAGGAGCCTATTCGGTCGAGGCTTATCGATCTGGTAAGGGAGTTCGCTGACATTTTTGCCTATACAGCGGAGGAGTTGACGGGGATAAGTGCGGAAGTGATCGAGCACCGGCTGAACATCAACCTCAGTGTGAGGCCGGTGAAACAGAAAAGAAGGCACCATGGGGCGGAGATGGACAAAATCATTGAGAAGGAGGTCGAGAAGCTATTGGGAGCAGGGCACATCAAGGAGATCCAGTTCCCCGAATGGTTGTCGAATACGGTGATGGTGTCGAAGGCGGAAGAAAAATGGAGAATATGCATTGATTTCCGTGATCTGAACAAAGCATGCCCAAAGGACTTATACCCACTGCCCAGAATCAACCAGTTGGTCGAATCAACGGCGGGGTGCGAATTGCTGAGCCTGATGGATGCCTCCCAGGGATATCATCAGATCCCTTTGGCGAGAGAAGACAGGAAGCGGGTGAGTTTTGTAACGTGTCGAGGAACCTATTGTTACGTAGTCATGCCGTTCGGCCTAAAGAATGCAGGCGCCACGTATCAAAGGTTGGTCGATAAAATTTTTAAGGAGCAACTGGGGAGGAACATGGAGGTGTATGTGGATGATATGTTGGTGAAGAAAAAAGAGGAATTGGATCATGTGCGAGACTTGAAAGAGACGTTCTCAACTTTGCGGAGGTATGGGATGAAATTGAATCCAGCTAAGTGCTCTTTCGGGGTGAGGTCGGGAAAATTCTTGGGTTACTTGGTGACCAAGAGAGGTATTGAAGTGAACCCTGAGAAGGTTCGGGCCGTTATGGAGATTAAGCCGCCGACGAATGTTAAGGAGGTGCAGATTTTAGCTGGTCGAATTGCGGGGCTGAGTCGTTTCATATCAAAGGTGGCGGAGAAAAGTGGCCCATTATTCAAAACACTAAAGAAAATCTCAAAATTTCAATGGACGGAGGAGGCGCAAAGAGCATTCGAGGAGTTGCGAGGGGTGTTGGCCAACCTTCCCTTATTGGCTAAACCCGTACAGGGCGAGGAGTTGGTGCTATACATTTCTATTGGAGAGAGGGCTGTGAGTTCGGTGTTATTGCGGGAGGAAGGGGTAGCGCAATTTCCTATCTATTACGTGAGCAGGGTGATGCAGGGGGCAGAGATGAGGTATTCAGAGATCGAGAAGTGTGCTTTGGCTGTGGTCGTAACTGC